GGTCCCTGACTGTAGTTACGTACAGGGACAGTAGTCCCCTCTCACCCGCAGTTTCACTTTCTGAGGTTTCAGTTACCGTCATCAACCGTGGTATGAAATAGGTGAGTTCAGCACATTAAGATGTGTTGAGAGAGACAGAGACACCACATTAGCATAACATTTATTACAGCATATTGTTATACTTGTTCTATTTTATTGTTATTAATCTCTCACTGTGCCTAATTATAAATTAAAGCACTTTACCATAGGTTTGCACATATATTTTTTCTATATATATTAGTTGGCCAATTAATTTCTTTCTATTTATAGTAGAGACGGGGGTCTCACTCTTGCTCAGGCTGGTTATGAACTCCTGACCTTTGAGCAATCCGCCCGCCTCAGCCTCCCAGAGTGCTAGGATTACAGGCCTCATGAGCCACTATGCCCGGCCTAGGCTTACTTTTGAGTGACAAATTCTAGGTTGTCTTCTCAAACAGGGCCCCCTCCCCACTCTACCAGCCAGACCCAAAGGTTTTCATGCCTCTTCATGAAGCTGACCAAAAATCTTCTCCTTCCATTCATTCTCCTCCCCTTTTGCTCTAGGGATCTCAATGCCCTCTGTGGAAGGGCGAGCAGGTGGGGGCAGGAGGTACCTTTCCACATTTAACCAAGGGACACTTTCCTAGGACCCCTCTGGACTCAATCAGCTACACCCGTCAGACTCTGCTCAGTGGCACTGTCCTGTACAGCCGTGGGGGCAGCTCAGATGTCTTTAACCTTTGAAGAAGCTGCTTGGGGAAGCTATTTTTAATGCTGCCCTGAGGAGACCTCCAAGGTATAACTAGATTGTTCTAGCAGAGACCTCTTTCTAAATCATCCCAAGGATACTGAACCACAGTTCTTTTTTTTTTTTTTTTTGAGACAGAGTCTCACTCTGTTGCCCGGGCTAGAGTGCCGTGGTATCAACCTAGCTCACAGCAACCTCAAACTCCTGGGCTCAAGTGATCCTACTGCCTCAGCCTAATAATTATCAACTACAGTGACAACGACGATGGTGGGTCACTCAATATTTATTCCAGGCACTGAGGATACAGCAATGAAAAGACATACAAGGTCCCTGACCTGTAGTTACGTACAGGGACAGTAGTCCCCTCTCACCCGCAGTTTCACTTTCTGAGGTTTCAGTTACCCGTCATCAACTGTGGTATGAAATAGGTGAGTTCAGCACATTAAGATGTGTTGAGAGAGACAGAGACACCACATTAGCATAACATTTATTACAGCATATTGTTATACTTGTTCTATTTTATTGTTGTTATTAATCTCTCACTGTGTCTAATTTATAAATTAAAGCACTTTACCATAGGTTTGCACATATAGAAAAAAACATAGTAGGTATAGGGTTTGGTACCATCTGATGTTCCAGGCATCCACTGGGGGTCTTGGAACGTATCCCCTGCAGATAAGGGGGGACTATTGTAGAGATATATAAAGCAGACCAGGGGAGAGAGAGAGAGAGAGGCTTCTTTAGATGGAGTGGTCAGGAAAGGCTCTCGGGGAGGTAATAGCAGACCAGGATGAACGGGGGAGGGATCAGAGCAAAGGCCTGGGGAAAGACTTTGCAGCAAAGAGCGAGCCAGGACATGGGCCCTGCAGCTGGGCCGGCATGTTCAAGGCAAGAAACCCGGGTGGGTCCAGGGCATGGGGTCAGGGGTGAAGGGGGTGGAATAAACTTGTGGCAAGTGGCAGGATGTGAGGTGGGTTAGTACCAAAGACCAGATTCTGTGGCATTTCAGCCAAGACAAGGAGTTCGGATGGAGGGCCCAGAGCGGGAGGGTGATGGGATCTGATTTACTTTTCACAAGGATCCCACTGGCTGTCTGGGGACGAGTGTAAGGAGGCAAGAGTGGACAGGGGGAGGCAGCAGTATCGAGGAGACAGGCAAGCGGTCGGGGTGGTACTTGGGGCTTTGTCCCAAAATCATCACCTTCATCATCATTGTCTGCTTCTGCACCAACAGGGTGCGATGGGCTCCTTATCGCTACGCATCAAACATGAACACACAAAGTGCTCTGGGAACTGTGTTCAAGTCTTACTATCATTTTTATTAGAAATGTTCCCAGGGAAGGGAGCTCTTCAGCACCTGTGTCCCCTTTCCATTGAATTCTCACTACAGAATGCAAATCTCTGCTGCCACATGAGTCATTACTGTGGGGGTGTCTTGATTTCTCCACACAGAACAGCTAATTTAGGGACTGGATACCCTCGGGAAAATGATTAGATTTTGTATCATTGGAACATTTCATACTGCAGCTCTACTGAGTATGTGCAGTATTATCTGACTTTGAGACACAATTTAACATGGCACGTGTGTGCAATTCAACTGTCAGCTCCAGGAAGGCAGGAGCCTGCAGATGAACCTTGCACAGGCCCTGGTGTTCCCTGGTAAATCTTTGTTCTGTTGCTGCTAATAGCGAGTTCTAGTATCCTTCAAATGAACTAGAATGACAAAAACTAGATTCACATGTTGTCTTTTAGGAATAGTATAGACATCATATAAAACTAGGCTCACTTTTTTTTTTTTTTTTTTTTCGAGATAGAGTTCGCTTTGTTGTCAGGTAGAGTGGAGTGCCATTGGCGTCAGCTTCACTAGCAACTCAACTTGCGGACTAAGCAATTTCTGCCTCAGCTCCGAGTAGCTGGGACTACAGCATCACCACATGCTGGCTATTTTTTCTATTATCATTTAGTTGCAATTAATTTATTTCCTCGTATTTATAGTAGAGACGGGGTTACACTCCTTGTCAGGCTGGTTCCATAACTCTGCCTTGAGCATCGCCCGCCTCAGCTCCAGGATGACTAGGATTACAGGTGCTCATGGAGCCACTATGCCGGGCCTAGGCTTACTTTTGAGTTGAAATTCGAGGTTGTTTCTCAAACAGCCCCTTCCCTCTAACGCAGACCAAAGGTTTTCATGCCTCTTCATGAAGCTGACCAAAAATCTTCTCCTTCCATTCATTTCTCCTCCCTTTTGCTCTAGGGATCTCAATGCCTCTGTGGAAGGGCGAGCGGTGGGGGCAGGAGTACCTTTACCATTTACCAAGACTTTCCTAGGACCTCTGGACTCATCACGTACACCGTCAGCTCTGCTCATTGGCACTGTCCTGTACAAGCGTGGGCGCTCAGATGTCTTTTAACTTTGAAGAAGCTGCTTGGGGAGCTATTTTTAATGCTGCCCTGAGGAGACCTCCAAGGTATAACTAGATTGTTCTAGCAGAGCCTCTTTCTAAATCATCCAAGGATACTGAACCACAATTCTTTTTTTTTTTTTTGAGACAGAGTCTCACTCTGTTGCCCGGGCGAGTGCCGTGGTATCAACCTAAGCTCACAGCACTCAAACTCCTGGCTCAAGTGATCCTATTGCTCTAGCTTCCGAGTAGCTGGACTACAGGCTGCACGACCATGCCAGTAATTTTTCTATATATTTTAGTTGGGGCAATTAATTTCTTTCTATTTTAGTAGAGACGGGGTCTCGCTTGCTCAGGCTGGTTTTGAATTCCTGGCCTCGAGTGATCCACCTGCCTCAGCCTCCCAGAGTGCTAGGATTACAGGATGGAGCCACCACGCCCGCCATGAACACAATTCTTTTTTTTGAGAAGAAGTCTCACTTTGTTGTCAGGCTAGAGTGAGTGTCCATGGCGTCAGCTAGCTCACAGCAACCTCAAACTCCTGGGCTCAGAGATCTACTGCCTCAGCCTCGGAGTGCTGGGACTACAGGCATGTGCCACCATGCCGCTAATTTTTTCTATATATATTAGTTGGCAATTAATTATCTCATTATAGTAGAGACAGGTCTCGCTCTGCTCAGGCTGGTTTGAATCCTGACTCCAGCATCGCCTTCAGCTCCCGAGAGCTAGGATTACAGGCGTGAGCCACTGCACCCAGCCATGAACACAATTCTTAATCCTACAATGAGCAAACTTTGCTCTTCGAACATTTGCACAGCCAGTTATTTCCATTTGTTCCCTGGGAAAGATCAGGATACTTGTGTCCTTCTGATCTGGGTCTGGGGCCCTGGGCCACTGGCCCAGGGCCCCCTTTACAGCCCCCAGCCCTGACAGATCCCATCCATGATGTCACTGCACAGACTAGGGGGGACCCTCACCTCCTCTCCAGCCTCCTTTGCTCTCCTTCCACTTCCTCCCAGAGAACTTCTCTACTCACTCTCCCAGTTCTCCCCTCCCCAGACGTGGCTCCCTCTGCTTGTTAAGTGTTAGTGTGGGAGACAGGTCTCTGAGAACAAGGAGATGAGGTGGTGGTCTTGGGGCCAATCCAGTTGCAAACCGTCTGTCCCCACAGGATGAAGAGAGGGGAGCTCTTTGACTACCTCACTGAGAAGGTCACCCTGAGCGAGAAGGAGACCAGGTGAGGGTTCATTTGCCTCTCTCCCCACTCCCTTCCCCGCGCCCTACTGCCACCGGCCCTGAGGTCATGGGGGAGGCACACTGCATTTGTCTGGGCTGGGAGTGTATGCCACCTGCTTTAGTGGCCTCCTCCTCTCCTGGGCTCAGTCTGGACCAGCCCAGAGTGTCCTGAGTCCCCCTCACTTGCAGGTGGCAGGTGTGAGATTTGGTCTCCCTGCTACTACCTGCCCCCGCAGAGCAGAAGGGTAACATGCGTCTGCCCCGCCCTAGGAAGATCATGAGGGCCTTGCTAGAGGTGATCTGCAGCCTGCACAGGCTCAACATCGTGCATCGCGATCTGAAGCCCGAGAACATCCTCCTGGACGACGACATGAACATCAAGCTCACAGACTTTGGCTTTTCCTGCCAGCTGGAGCCAGGAGAGAAGCTGAAAGGTCTGTTAACACGGCCTTGGCCCGTGTCAGGGGCTCAGGCTCTCTCACCAATTCTCAGGGACAGAGATCGCCTGGGTTTCTCCCTTACCTTAATCTCCCCCCAGAATAAAAATCCTACCATTTAGGTAAAAATCATTACCTGAAGAGGGGCTACGTGTCTCTTCAGGTACGTCCTCTTCCCAGGAATGAGCGGAGCCAGGCTCCTGTTGCCCACATTCCAGGCCAGGATGCCTAGAGGGATCCAGGGAACCAGTGGGCCCCAGTGGTGGCCCTATGAGCCAGTACCCTGCCCTTACCCTTGGCCCTGAAGTTGGCCGGTGTTAGGAGAGTCCCAGCCCAAGAACCACTCATGTCCTATCTCCATTGTTCCTTTGGATTTCCTCTTCTGAGTGTCCCATGCTGACCTGTCCTGATGGCACCCATTCCTGCAGAGGTCTGTGGGACCCCCAGTTATCTGGCCCCCGAGATCATCGAGTGTTCCATGAACGACGACCATCCAGGCTATGGGAAGGAGGTGGACATGTGAGTGTGCAGTCGGGAGGAGGGGAAGGAGGCGGGGGAGGCGAGCCCATGGCAGGAGCACTGGGCTGGGCGCGTAGGGAACAGTAGGAACTAAGCCAGACCCCCGACGCTGGCGTGGTGAGCGGCCCTCACGGCCCAGGTGGAGCACGGGTGTCATCATGTACACGCTGCTGGCCGGCTCCCCGCCCTTCTGGCACCGGAAGCAGATGTTGATGCTGAGGATGATTATGAGTGGCAACTATCAGTTTGGCTCACCGGAGTGGGACGATTACTCGGACACCGTGAAGGACTTGGTGAGAGGCCAAGCCTACTGGCTCCTGGGCTCGGGCTTGGGGAAATGCCCACGATGGGGGGGAGTATACCATGCCACAGAATGGAGGAGCCCACCAGGAGAGACCCCATGTCCCCTGAAATGCTGGAAGGGCCCCTGCCTTGACGTTCTCCGTTCCCCTCTCCTTTTCTCTCAGATCTCTCGCTTCTTGGTGGTGCAGCCCCAGAGCCGCTGCACGGCGGAAGAGGCCTTGGCACATCCCTTCTTCCAGCAGTACGTGGTGGAAGAAGTGCGTCACTTCAGCCCCCGGGGGAAGTTCAAGGTACAGAAACTTCCCTTGACCCAGGCCCTGGGGCACTTGCTGCTGGCTCCCAAAGTCCAGGCCTGCACGCCCCCTTCCAGAACACCTGCCCCTCCCCTCCCACCCAGCCTGAAGTGGGCTCCAGTTCAACTTATGGTTTCAGAGAAGGCAGGTGTCAGCTGACTGGTTCCATCAGCCTAAGGCCCTGGATGCTGGCAGGGTGGGGATTGGGGGACATGAGGAAGGTCCCAGCAGAAGCCACCTAAGGCTTCATGGCAAACAAGCTCAGGGCCCGCCTGCGCTGGAGGGGCAGGGGCCAGCAGCAGGTGGGGCTGACAGCTCAGGGTTCTCCGTCCTGGCCCTCTGCAGGTGATCGCTGTAACAGTGCTCGCTTCAGTGCGGATCTACTACCAGTACCGCCGGGTGAAGCCAGTGACAAGGGAGATCGTCATCCGGGACCCCTACGCCCTCCGGCCTCTGCGCCGCCTCATTGATGCCTATGCCTTCCGCATCTACGGCCACTGGGTGAAGAAGGGGCAGCAGCAGAACCGGGCTGCCCTCTTTGAGAACACACCCAAGGCCGTGCTCCTCTCCCTGGTTGAGGAGGACTTCTGAGGGGCTGGCAGATGGGGTAGGGTTTGGGGGGGCAGGTAGGGAGGGGAAGCTACAGAAATACAAGTCAAAGGAGCGAGATCACGTGCAGGCCTCTGTGCAGTAAGAGCACCACCTGGCTGGGGTCAGGAACCCCTGGGGTGGAGGCCATGATCCCTCTCCAAGGCTCCGCACACAAGGAGAGGGTGTTCCCACCACACAGCAATGACCGGGCCAGGCCCCAGTGGTGGGGAGGGAGACTAGATGTGGCCCAAGAACCAGGAACTCTCCTGCTTTTCCACGTCCCAGTTGTGCCACCTCAGTTTCTGCTTATGGGAGGCCCCGAGTTCCTGACACTCGGGGGCCTCTTCCCTTCAGGTCCGGGGGTGAGGAGAAAAGATACAGAAATATGAGATATACAATCAGAGACTTTACTAACCGGACAACATCCAGTGATGCCACGTGAGCAGATTACTCTCCAGGGACATGCTTTTAGAGGCATATACATACTTACAGCCCTTATGTAACTAGCAATACAAGGGGAAGCTTCTGATGATATTTGTCTTTCTGGAGTGTTATTTACTTTGTGACTCCCACAATGCACAGCTTCACCTGGTAAATCATTCGGTTCTCCCAGACCCTTTAAGACTGACATCGTGCTTTAAAGAGCCCATGTGACTGCTTTTACACAGAGTGGAAATTAGGTTCCTTCAGAAGGGAATACTACAGATGAGGCAAATGAAGAAACCATCTTCCTTCTACAGTAATTTGTTGGGGAAACAGAGAGAGCCGAGGAAATTCTGCCTTGAGGAAACAATTTTAGACTCCTGAGTTAGGGAAAAAGGGAAAGGGAATAGATTGTAAGATTTTTGACTAACTGCCTTTCAGAGCACTCTGTTCCAACTGTTTGCATATTTGGCTCCTCGATGGTTAATGCTTGACCTCTGAGAGAAACACCCAGCTCCCAGCCACAGGTGATAAGTTGGGCCGCTTCTCCAAGAGACAGTGGCAGCCCTTCTGTGAGGGTTAGAATCCTCTCAGTCCCTGGCAGGAGAGGCGCCTGCCACAGAGGGGCAGGGAAGGGGAAAGAGTTCTTTCCTGAGGCTGAAGTTGAAGAGCCTGGAGTCTGGCAGTGTTTGGGGTCTGGCCAGGGAATGACGCTGGTACCACGGAGGACTTCTACTCATTTGTGCATGGCGGCTCACAGCTCCTCAGGTGGTCGGCCTGTGCTGGAAGCACAGCGGAAGCCAAGGTTGTCTGAGGCTGAATCTGGAGTATTGCCCATCCTGCCACCAGAGAGAGGGAGCGAGAATGAACATTCCTTAAGAAAGGGGCTTGGGGGCTCACCCAACTTCCCTCCCCAAACCCTCGGGCCTGCTGGGGTCTGGTGCACCTGAGGACTGGGGAGGGCATGGTCTGGAAAGAAGCCTGGTGCAAGGGCAGGTCCTGAGCAGGTGCCACTCCTGGGGAAAGGGGACAAGGAGGGGCTTGGGACAGAGTGGGGGAAGTGACAGTGGCCCTGAGAGGCTGCATGGAGGGCAGGAAGGACAGTGACTAATAACTTCTGTTAGTAGTTTAGACTCAGCTGAACAAACCTGTCAGAAAGAAATGAGAATTCATAGCACTAATTGGCATCTCCTATTTTTGAAGAACTTTCACAGATAGGCCTTCATTTCCCATTTCCCAACTGCTCTGGAAGGCAGGATACCTTCCCCATTTTACAAACCCACAATCAGATTCTAGAAAGACTGAAATGTTTTGCCCAAGGCCAACCACTGCTTCAGGGGTAGAATCTGTGGCAAACCCAGTTTTCTCCACTAAGTTGTCCTGAAAAGGGAGGCGAGGAAAATCCAGAGGTTTCCATGTGTCACAGAAATATCTGCAACCATGATATCCGGGGGCTACAGAAACAGTGGACTCTCCACAGTCTTCAAGAAATCCAGGGTGGAAGGAGTTGCAGAGATATCCACCAAATTAAATCTACAGATGGATGGAGTAGAAAGAGTCCCAGAAGGAAACTCAGGACACAGGGACTCTACCATTCAGGTGCCACCACTAGACAACCATGTGAAATGAGCGGGTCCCAGCACCTCCCTGAGCCTTTTTTCCTTGATTGTAAAATAATGATTTTTCATGTGTCCATCAGTTTGAAGGATCCATAATTCCATGATCACTGGCCATGACCTATTAATATGGACATTCCACTCCCTTCTACCTGCCCACCTAGGTGTGAAGACAAGAGGAGAAACCCTATAATTAAGATGCCGAACAGTCTCCATTGGTGCCAAGAGCTGGCAGGAAAAAGTCACAAGTTGCCAGAGGCCTTTGTGCTTTTCATGGTAAACTCTGCTTACTTGCTTTTCTGTACCCACATCTCCTGGTGGAGGTAGGGGTGCAGGGACAGCACCAACAAGCAACACAGCTCTGGTACTGCCCAGGACCTGAACCCTCAGCCCCCAGCTACTGAGTTGTGCGTTCCCTTGGACCAAGCCCCTCACCTGGTGGTGACCCGGGCCCGGTGATTGGCAGAGCCATCAGCCGTGTCGATCCAGGATGCCCCCCGGAGGACGCGCATGTCCTGGTCAGCAGCCTGGTATGGCGATGCTGTCCACTCCCACACGTTGCCCAGGAGGTCATAGAGGCCTGTAGCACAGCAGGCAGGTCAGTCCCAGGCTAGGAAGCACCAAACCACCCCTCCTCCCCATCTAAGCCCCTGGGGGGCAAACTTGGGGTGGGGAGAGGTGCTTCTCTCTGCCTCATCTATCAGGCAGAATGATCCCCGCAACCAATGCATAAGCGCTGAGAACACCCTGATGAGAAATCTTACCATAGTTATTCTGTGGGGGGAAAGCATTCACCGGGGAGACTCCGTGGAAGCCGTCCTCAGCTTTGTCACCCTTGGGGAACTTTCCCTGGTGGGAGAAATGAAGGCTAAAGGATGTACCATCCTGTCCCAAGGTAGGTGCTCCTGCCCATGTAGAGGAAAAGCAAGGTCATCTTGCTGTATCATCTGGGGTAGGAGGAGGGCATGGAGCAGTGACCTGAGGTTACTATCCCAATATCCCAAACCAGTCACCTCATGACCCTACCATGACTCCCCAGGTGGATAAGGAAGAGTGTGTGTTTCCCTGTGCCCATGGTGGTCCATGTCAAGCCCATCCCACTCCTGCTTTCTCCACTCTCAGCAACTTCCACCCTCTGCTCGAACCCCACAAGCCATGGTGCCTTGGAAGAGAAGCTACTCCTTCCCTCCTCTGTGTCCTGCACCCTCTGCCCGAGCAAGGGCCTACTCCCGCCAGCCTCTCAGGAATCTCTTAGGAATCTCCGACACCTGCCTGTACTCTCTTGCAACATCTCCTTCCCCTCTACTTCCAACAGACTGAACTCAGCCTTCCCTATCTCCTGCTCTTTACCACCAAAATTCTTGAAAAAGTAACCTATATTTGCTGATGCAATTTGTTCAACTTGTTTATGGTTCTTCTCATTAAAACTGGGGTTCTGCTGCCACCACTCTACAGAAGCTGCTCTTACAAAAGGGAAGATGAAGGGGTTAAAGTTTACTCAATACTACTATGTGCTAGGTCGGTTCCATTTAGCTCTTTTAATTTAATCTTCACAACTTTGTGGGGCAGGTATTGCCTCCATTTAAAAAACTAACAACTGAGGCTCAAAATAGTTTAGTTAACAAAGATCAAACAGTGAGTAAGTCAGATGTGTCTTTCTGCAAAGCTCTGATTTCCAAGCTAAGGTCGTCCAAAAGGTCAGTCTAACCCTCAGGCCCTTTTCAATGGTGGGGCTGTGCTCTCCTCAGTCTACACGGCCTCCCTGGGGGACATCATTCCAGCAAGGTATGCAAGGCATGCTGGACTCTCAAACCACTTGCTTTGACCCAGATCTCTGTCCTAAGCTCCAGACTTCTATTTTTCAACTTCTGACTAAGCATAGAAATGACCCAAACGCACCTCAAGCTACGCGGATCCTAAACTGGTCAAGTTCTATCCCTCAGACCCCTGACATGCACATTATCTACTCTGGATAATGGTGGCACCACCAGCATGTTGCCCACCCCTCCACATCTGATTAATGACCAAACCCTGTGCATCTTCCCAGACAGGCCTCTCCTGTTTGGCTCCCTCTCTTGGTTCCACTCCCAGTTCAAATGTTGATAGTCCCCTAGGCCAATGCCACAGCCTTAAATTCAAAGGCTCCTGCCACCACTGTGGCTGGACCTCATCTGGTCCTGCACAAATTAGCAACAATTAGCATCTCCCCAAGTCAAAGTGATGCTGTTACTACCGTTTAAAAACCTCTCTTAGCTACCTGCTGCCTGGAGGGTAAAATCTAAAACTTGCTTGGCACATATGGCCCTTCATAATCTGCCCCCAGCCCACTCTCTACCTTACCTCCCTCACCCCCATTTCTCTGTGCTCCAGCCTCCCTGGATCTGTCATATCTCTGAACACACAGAGCAAAGCCAGACACTTGTGCTGTTTCCTATGCTTGGAATGCCCTTTCTTTCACTATTCACTTGACAAACTCCAATCAGCTCAAATGTCACCTTCTCTATGAAGTCATCCCCTGCACCCTCAGGCAGTGATTTCCTCCCCAACTCTGCAAATCTTTACTATATAGTCCTTACAAACGTTGTCTTTTGCTTTGCCAGTTTATGGGTTCCACTAGAACACCAAGCCTGCGGGATCCCACAGCCTAACACAGTGCCTGGCCTATACAAGTCTCCATCAATATTTGGTGAAAGGAGGCATGGGTCTTACCTGCCACAGGTTGGTGCGGTTTGGCTGGAACCGGTTCCCCCATGGGTAAACCTGACCTGCCAGGAGAGGAAGGAGACAGCAGAAGAGGGAGAGGTGAAGAGTTGGGGAAGAAAAAGGGCAGAAAGAATGAGGGGACCAAAAGGAAGTTAGGAGATAGTGAGAAAAAAGCATGAGCTTACTTACTTTTATTTCCCATGCCCATCCCCTCTGCTCACTATATCGCATTAGGAGACCCTGGCTGCCTAACCTGCTGCAGGGCAGTGCAATTCTAAGCATGGTTCTGGGACCAGTGCTAGTCTGTGAACTATTTGTTACCAGTCCATGTCAAGGTAAGCACAGAAATTCAGTAAGCATTGAGAAATGTGTTAACTGGACTTAGATTTCATAAATGAACACTTAAGAAGCAATCTCATTTGTTATACTTTATCGATGTATCTGGTGATCAAAGAGTATATAGAGGTATTTAATGTAGGGAACTGATTTTCACTTTCATAACTTTTTTTTAAGAGATGGGGTCTTAATCTGTGCCCCAAGCTGGAGTGCAGTGGCCAACAGCTCACTGCAGCCTCAAACTCCTGAGCTTGAATGATCCTCTCGCCTCAGTCTCCCCAGAAGCTGGGACTACAGGCATGTGCCACCTCACCTGGCTTTGTAACTTTTTGTGTAGTTAGGATTGTATTATAGAATGACAGTTATGAGTTTAAATCAATCCCTGCACCCCTGTGGAAGAGATGTGTAGTTTTGGTAATTCTTCTTTTCCCCTATGCTATGTAGTTGATTATATTTATTGAAATGTAACATAAATGTGGAATCTCTAACAATAAAAGATTTTATATCTGGTTTTTCAGTTCATTTTTCCAGTTATTAATTTTTATGGTATTTCATAGATGTACTGGTCTGAGATGGATTAAAAATGAAAAAAGGCCGGGCGCGGTGGCTCACGCCTGTAATCCTAGCACTCTGGGAGCCAAGCGGGTGGATTGCTCAAGGTCAGGGTTCGAAACCAGCCTGAGCAAGAGCGAGACCTCGTCTCTACTATAAATAGAAAGAAATTAATTGGCCAATGAATATATATATAGAAAAAATTAGCTGGGCATGGTGGCGCATGCCTGTAGTCCCAGCTACTCGGGAGGCTGAGGCAGGAGGATCGCTTGAGCCCAGGAGTTTGAGGTTGCTGTGAGCTAGGCTGACGCCACGGCACTCACTCTAGCCTGGGCAACAAAGCGAGACTCTGTCTCAAAAAAAAAAAAAAAAAAAAAAAAAAAAAAGGCCAAGTGCAATGACCCACGCCTGTCATCCCAGCACTTTGGGAGGCCAATGCCAGAGGACTGCTTGAGGCCAGGAGTTTGAGACCAGCCTGGGCAACATAGTGAGACCCTGACTCTACCAAAAAAAATAAGCTGGGCATGGTGCCACATGCCTGTAGTGCACATGCCTGTAGTAGCCATGCCTAGCTACTACTCAAAAGGCTGAGGTGGGAGGATCATTAGAGCTCAGGAATTCAAGGCTGCGGTGCACAGCTATGATCACGACACCCATCCCAGCCTAGGGCGATAAAGCGAGACCCTATTTAAAAAAAAAGAAAGAAAAAAACACCAACTGGTCTTTCACCATAGGTATCTTATTAAGCATTGTTCTAGGAAACGTAGACCCTTCCCACCCTTTAAAGCCCCCCATGGAGGGTGGAATGGAGAGAATAAAGGGAAGTCGCCTTGGCATGTGTATACCCTTCAAGCCCCCTCGGGCAGCAAACTCCCACTCTTCCTCAGTGGGCAGCCGTTTCCCCCGCCAAGCACAGTAGGCACGAGCATCATTCCAGCTCACGTGTACCACCGGGAGCTCCAGTCTCTCTCGGATGCCAGAGCCAGGACCTGCAGGCTGACAGCCAGGGTGAAGTGAGACAGGCTTCTGAGAGCTCACGAAGACTGAGGAAGGCTAGGCTTAGGGTGCCTGAGTTCAGCTTTTACCACTAGATGGAGCAAGGAAGTTAGAAGAGATGGTCTGGTAAGTGAGGAGCGTCCAGGGTCAGAAGAGACTACATGAGACTAAAGGGAGAAATAGGATGGGCAACAGGGTAAAAGATTAGGGCAGAGGAAACAGGATTGCTTGGCTATTTCCCTGAAATTCCTCTATTATCCTTTAAACTCAGTATTCCTAGATATGCCAGGGGTATAAGGAAGCTGGGCCTTGAGAAAAGGAGAAGCAGGGTGAGAAAATGAGGCAGAGGAATGAATGCTTACCTGCCTCCAAAATGCCTTTTCCACTGGAAGCCACCAGAGAACAGACTGCAAAAAAGAAGGAACATGACTGCAATATGCGCTGACTCACGACTGACTGAGCCACAGGAAGCAGGACAGAAACTTCAAGCTGAGACCTGGCTGGTTGAAGTGAGGCTGTGGCTGGAATCTCTGAAGAGTGACATCTCGCCACCCTTACTAGACATCTTGTCAAGATGTTCTCTTGCTGGTTCAGGAAGTATCTTGAACCCTATCTTGATGTGGATCTTCACCAGTCTCTCTATGCAAGAACTACCTCAGGGTTAACCTCCTAGGAGTGTGTATTCATCTGACTCTTCCAGGTTGGGTTTTTTTTTTTTTTTTTTTTTGAGACAGAGTCTCACTTTGTTGCCCAGGCTAGAGTGAGTGCCGTGGCGTCAGCCTAGCTCACAGCAACCTCAGACTCCTGGGCTCAAGCAATCCTTCTGCCTCAGCCTCCCGAGTAGCTGGGATTACAGGCATGTGCTACCATGCCCGGTTAATTTTTTGTATATATTTTTAGTTGGTCAATTAATTTCTTTCTACTTTTAGTAGAGATGGGGTCTCACTCTTGCTCAGGCTGGTTTAGAACTCCTGATCTTAAGCGATCCTCCTGCCTCGGCCTCCCAGAGTGCTAGGATTACAGGCGTGAGCCACCACACCCGGCCCAGGTTGGGTTTCTTTTGCTCTTCTATGTCTCTAGTCTCACATCTACTTCTCCACTGTGGCCCAGGTGACCCCATATGGCAATGGGATGCTCTGTCCAAGTCCCACTCCCATTCCCCCAGCAGCAAGACCAGGTTCTCTCACCTTCATTTGCTGGGTTGCTTTGTTTCTTAGCTCATTGGAGACCAAGTCCTCAAAGACAAAGCTCCACCCAAACATCTCAGCCTCTGTCCGGTACTTTTTCTCCCTGACAAACTCCCTGCAAAGAGATGTTCCACCTGGTTCAGCTGAAACGGTTCCATGCCCCACTCCCACCCTCTCCTACTCCAGGAAACCTCATATATCCTTGTCCCGTACAGTGATCTCCAACCCCCAGGCCATGGACTGGTACTGGTCCGTGGCCTGTTAGGAACCGGGCTGCACAGCAGGAGGTGAGCAGTGAGCAAATGAAGCTTCACCTGTATTTACAGCTGCTCCCCATTGCTTGCATCACCACATAAGCTCTGTCTCCTGTCAGATCAGTGGTGGCATTAGAGTTCTCATAGGAGGGCAAACCCTCCTGTAAACTGCGCATGCGAGGGACCTAGGCTGCGTGCTCCTTATGAGAAAGTAATGCCTGATGATCTGAGGTGGAGCTGAGGCGGTGATGCTAGTGCTGGGGAGTGGCTGCGAATACAGATTATCATCAACAGAGAGGTGTGACTGCACAATAAATGTAATGTGCTTGAATCATCCCCAAATCATCCTCCCCTCCTACCCGCTGTCCAGGGAAGAACTGTCTTGCATGAAACCAGTCACTGGTTCCAAAAATGTTGGGCACTGCTGCTATAAGTCACACACCATAGAGTTTTCACGACCACCAAGGAATTAACCTGAAAGCCTGAGCAGGAGATTTTCTTTTAAATTAGCATGTAATTCATATACAGTAAAATTCATCCTTTTTAGTGTATAGTTCTGTGAGTTTTGACAAAGCAGTCGCTACCATAATGAAGATACAGAACAGGTCCATTAGCCACCCCAAAAAATTCCCCCATGCCTCTGCAACCACTGACCTATTTTTTGTCCCTATGGTTTTGCCTTTCCCAGAATGTCACATAAATTGAAATCATACAGTATGTGGTCTTTGGGGTCTGGCTTCTTTCATTTAGCAAAATGCTTCTGAGATTCATCCATGTTGTTGCTGTTATTAGTAGTCTGTTTCTTTTTCTTTTTTTTTTTTTGAGACAGAGTCTCACTTTGTTGCCCAGGCTAGAGTGAGTGCCGTGGCATCAGCCTAGCTCACAGCAACCTCAAACTCCTGGGCTCAAGCAATCCTACTGCCTCAGCCTCCCAAGTAGCTGAGACTACAGGCATGCGCCACCATGCCCGGCTAATTTTTTCTATATATATTAGTTGGCCAATTAATTTATTTCTATTTATAGTAGAGATGGGGGTCTCGCTCTTGCTCAGGCTGGTTTCGAACTCCTGATCTTGAGCAATCTGCCCGCCTCAGCTTCCCAGAGTGCTAGGATTACAAGCGTGAGCCATGTTTCTTTTTCTTGATGAATTATTTTTTATTGTATGGATATAACATGTTTTGTTTATACAGTCACCAGTTAAAGGTCATGTGTGTTAGCTCCAGTTTTTGGAGATTATGAATAAAGCCACTGAGCAGGAAATTTAAGGTTGGGGAATGAGTCTCTTTTCTGAGAGGTCTTTACCCATATCTAAGTTCACAACAATCATGGTAGGAAGATAGAACAGGTGTTATAGTTATTAACTCTATCTAACAGATGAAAGACCCTGAGTCAAATAAAAATAACATACTAAGATTTTAGAATGAATTTTCATATAATTTGGAATGGTTTACTAAATTTCAGCAAGCAGATTGCCAGGGTAAGATGGATTGCTGTCCTTGGGCTAACGGTACACCTCTGTTCCGGGACTTTGATATGAGAAGACATTGTTCACCCATCAAAGTGGCTTTGAGAATGGAGGAGGTGATCAGGAGATTTTGTAGCAACAGCTACTCACCAATCCCATAGCATCTCACCAGTTTGAGAATCTTTTACCAGAGAAACAGAGACAAGTCATGGGATTCTAGGCAAAGTTTAGGGACTTGTTGGCAATGATATTAGATTTTCATCATCTGATAGGTCATAATTTGCAATATAAAAGAATGCATACTGTACATCCATTTATCTGGTTGTTTCTGGTTGTTATGAATGGTACAAGCCTAATCAGAAGTGATTTCTCCTTCTTAACTATCCTGTTTAAAATTATTTATTAAAATCATATATAAGCAATGTAAATTGTATTCCAGAAAAATTGGTAAATACAGGTAGGTAAAAAGAAAAAAATTAAAAACATCCATTATCACACTAACTAAAAGATATATCCTTCTAGATTCTCCCCCCCTTGCCCTATCCAAGGGTTTTTTTCTTTTTTTTCTTTTCTTCCTCTTCTTTCTCTCTCTTTTTTATCATCCCATCATGACATTCAATTCACCCAGGGATTTTCAAATAGCTTTAATAAGGTGCTTTTCTGGAATTATTTTCATTTTGAAATAAAAAACATGGGCAAAATCCATTAACTAATGTAATGTCTCATCTTTCAGATTCTTTATGCATAAACATTATATATATATATGTGTATATATATATATATATATATATAGTTTTCAACAATGGGATCACACCCTATGTATTGTAAGTTATTTTTTTCACTTAACATCTCATAACTCTTTTTTTTTTTTTTGAGACTCTCAAAAGAGACTCTTTTGAGACTCTTTTTTTTTTGAGAGTCTCACTTTGTTGCCCAGGCTAGAGTGAGTGCCGTGGCGTCAGCCTGGCTCACAGCAACCTCAATCTCCGGGGCTCAGTGATCCTACTGCCTCAGCCTCCCGAGTAGCTGGGACTACAGGCATGCGCCACCATGCCCGGCTAATTTTTTATATATATATCAGTTGGCCAATTAGTTTCTTTCTATTTATAGTAGAGACGGGGTCTCGCTCTTGCTCAGGCTGGTTTCGAACTCCTGACCTTGAGCAATCCGCCCGCCTCGGCCTCCCAAAGTGCTAGGATTACAGGCGTGAGCCACCACGCCCAGCCTTATAACTCTTTTCAACAAGATTTTAATGACTATTAAGTATTGTGTTATATTGATACGACACATTGAGTGATCCTTAAATTATTAAGACATTAGTTTACAATATCATCTTTAGAACTACTTGTTTTTGACAACCTTAATTCTTCCTTAAGACAAAGCCCTGGAGGTGGAGTCACTGGGTCCAAGGGTCTGAGGATTATACTAACAATCATTATGCTTATTCGTCTGTGCCTCCTGAATCAATTTTTTCTTACAACTCTTCATCTTGAAAATGTTTAAGTCCACAAATGTAATATTTAAGTCATTTCTCACATTTGCCTTATTGTCCCCTGTCCTTCCTCTGTCCCTCCCATATTTCTCTCTTCCTCCCTCTTTTTTTCTCTATATGTATATATTTCCCCCTGTACCATATGAAGGTAAGAGATATCTTCTGGATCATTTTTACTTTAGCCTACCCGAAACATATGCCCTTAGGGAAACTGAGGCAGCTCAACATGGCTTCTTACACTGAACAGGAACCACAATGTCTCACCCTTAAAACAAAGCCATTTCCTTCAACCAATATATTAATAAACGGAATTTAAGGAACTCTCAGGTAGTATGACCCTTCTCCTAATCCCTTCCTGCTGTAGAAGAGGTTTCTGTTTAGTGTTTGACTTGCTTGTATTTCTCAGTGCTATGCCCAGTGTAATGGAAGATGCACTGGCTGAAGAGTCAGGGGATTTGAGTTCCAGGCCCAGCTCGTGTACTAACTGAGAGAGTCAGTCAAACTTCTTTGGACTTTGGATTCTTCATCTGAAAAAATGTAGATAACATGTATCCCATAGTATTACTGCAAAGATGATATGTGATAGTGAATAAGCTAGATTCCCTTTAGATATTAGGGAAGAGATTAGAAAGGGCCTATATTCCTCCTGGAAGAACACCGGATGTACCTGAAATCTTTGTTGGTGACAGGAAATACGTCAATTGCAAAGGGTTTTACTGTCACCTCCCGGACAGGCCCTTCACCATCTCTGCCATCTGGAGAATTTGTTCCCATCAGGAATTTCCCACCTGGCAGCTGGACCATGCTAGCAGCCTGTCCATTACCTGAAGTGAAAAAGGAGAGTTATCAGTAATACATTAATATATATAAAACAATATTTGGATCATATGCAATATCCATGTTATAACAAAACAAAACATGGCCAGGTGCGGTGCCTCACGCCTGTAATCCTAGCACTCTGGGAGGCTGAGGGCGGAAGGATTGCTCAAGGTCAGGAGTTCGAAACCAGCCTGAGCAAGAGCGAGACCCTGTCTCTACTATAAACAGAAAGAAATTAATTGGCCAACTGATATATATAGAAAAAATTAGCCGGGCATGGTGGTGCATGCCTGTAGTCCCAGCTACTCGGGAGGCTGAGGCAGTAGGATTGCTTGAGCTCAGGAATTTGAGGTTGCTGTGAGCTAAGCTGATGGCACAGCACTCACTCTAATCTGGGCAACAAAGCGAGACTCTGTCTCAAAATAATAATAATAATAATAAGTGTGAAATGTTGAGCACATGGTAGGTAGGTTTTCACTTACCTCTTTATTCTACGCAATGCTTTGTCCCAGCTAGGTAAATCTAGACACTATACCCTGAAATACATGTAACACTTTGTACCCATACTTCTGCTTATGTTGTTTCTCTGTCTTTTCCTCTCTACTTATTCAACTCATAAATTTTTCGTGATTCCTACCATTACATCATATGCTCCAGAAGGAAAGGGACATCTATTTTGCCAGTGTATCCCTGGCACCTACTACAAGTACACAATGATTAAATGAGCTCCTTTATCCTTTAGGCTTGTTTGAATGCCTCAGAAAACCATAGAATAAAAAGGATCTTTGCTACAATCTTATTTCACATGAGCAAACCCTATAATGAAAAATGACTTAAAGAGATGGATAGCAGGAGACAGGCCTAGATCCAGGTCTCCTTACAGTGCTGTTTTCAATAGCCCACATTTCTCTGGCTTGATGTACCACTTCATGGTATGGTTCCCAAGATAGGGTGTCTAGCACTATAAGTTAGTTCCTCAAAGGCAGAGTCCAGCTCTTTTGATGTTCCTCAGCATCCTGTCTTTGGCCCTCTTTTCATTCTGACACACTCACACTGACTTCACCTATTTCCAGTTTCTTCAACAAATAAATTGCAAGAAAAAGAGGAGCAAGCAAGGAAATCTCAGATTGAAAGGGTTTACGAAACATACAACTACAAAGCGTAAACTTTATTTTGATCCTAATTTAAGAAGCAAACTGAAATTTTAAAACATTGATAATAGGTGAATCTGAACAGAGTGGCTATGATGTTAAGGCGTACTCGTCAATTTTTTAGGTGGGAAAGGTTATGGTAATTTTCCTTCGTGTCTTCTGACTATTCAAGCTGCATATGTATGAAAAAATTGTACAATGCCTAGAGTCACCTCAAAAAGCTCCAGGAGAGGGGAAAAGTGGGATTCGAAAGGAGCAAGATTGGCCACAAATTGTCAGCTGCTTAAGCTGGGCGATGAGTACGTAGGGGGCTCGTCATATTCTCTTTGACTTTTTTACGTTTGAAAGATTCCAAAGTAACAAGTCAGAAATTTAAGAAAAGCGGTGAGGTACATACAACCTGAACTGCTAACCACCTCCCCAGAGCGGGCGCCTCCAGACACTCCAAGCACATCCAGACAGCGGGCAGAAGGGCCACGGTCCCTTTCCTTACCAGGGCGGAGTGCCCGGCCCTTTCCCAGCGCCTCCTGGACAAGCGGCGCCAGCTGGCGCCAGCGGATGCGGGCAGGCCAACACACTGACCTAGCTTGAGCCGAGTGGCGAGCAGCAGCGACAGCAGAGACGGCAGCAGCAGCCGGAGACCCATGCCGGGAGCAGGACAAGCGCGGCACGCAACCCGCGCAGCTCTGCTGCGCGTGCGCCCGCACGCCCCGTCGGCTGCCGCTCCGCGCGTGCGCACACCTTCCCCCTCCTCCACACCCTCGAGTTTACAAACTGATAACCGATGGTGGTCGTGAGAGTGGAGGCTGCAGTTTGCCGCCTGCAGGGCCGCCCAGGTAATTAAGAAAAAGCGCGTTGAGCAGCCCCGTCATTGCAGAGGGCCATTCACTACTTTTTGAACTTTTGTACAAATTATGTTCCCTTTTGTATTGCGACTGCTTCGTGCTGCATACCATGCCAGACGACAGAAATGTTTCAACTAAACATTTATTGCACTCTTACTGTAGGCAGCTGCTAACGCCCTCAAAATACAAAGCTGAGTAAAACACGTCACCTTCAAGGACTGCAGAGAGACCAACTATATAAAAACAATCTCATGGAAACATGTAGGAGAGAACAGTAAGCTAAATGAAAAAACAAGACACTAGGGGATTTGACATGGATATTTCGCATAAGCAAAGTTCGAGGCTTGAAAATACTGTCAGCCTAAAAATCTCGCATTTCACCTAATAGCCTAGTCAGGTCTTAGTCACCACAAGTTAAGTCATCTTAACTACTGCCTCATCTATTTTGGACACTCTGGACTCCCTTGGCTCTAGTTTACTCCTATCTCCTACTTTTCTGGAGGAACATTTTAGCAAAGCTATTTCAAAAGCGTGGTAAGTCTAACTGTTCCAGTAATTTTCTCATAGAAATTTATACTAAGGAAACAGGGATGCTTTCAAAATCATAAATTACTTATTTATATTAGCATAAAAATTTTCACCTTAAATGCTTAACAGTAGGGTACTGTTGGATAATTTAAAATACATCCACATAAGAAATTATTAAACCATTAAAATTTGTTTTTCAAGGAATATTTAATAACAAGGTAGATAACATGTTTATCTAACATGTAATTTTGTCACTGCAGCTAAAGCAAAACATTCTATTCACTTGGTAAAAAGGACCTCCTTTTATGTGTGTGTTGTCAGTGCAATTTAAAAAATACTGTAATTATAATTTCAGAACTTCAGAATTTAAATAGGTGCCAGTGTTCTCTCCTTTTTTCATATGGGCAAAGAAAATTCCTTTAAAAACCACTTGATGCTTGGACAAAAATTCCACAGCTATCTTCCTCAGGATCACTTTGTAGAGTCTTCAATATTCAAATTCAAGGGAAGCTTTAATTCAACCTTTCAGAGAAGACATTCCAGCTCGCATAATTTCATCTACCAAGAGAATGTTGGTGGCAATCACAGTACTGAAAAGAGAGAAAAAAATCAGATGGCTCAGATGATATGAACCCGAATTCAAGTCAACTTCCCATTCTCAAATAAGGTGCACACATTACATCCAATTAAAAGTCCTCTTTCCCTTTTACACAGAGGGCCACTTTAGTTTCTGCATTTCCAGTTGATTATGTTATTTGTGGGGAGCAGGGAGAACAACTAAATAGAATACCCCTAATGAACAGTATGAAGATTCCCTAAAGGTAATTTTAGTTTTGGTTCCCCCAAACTTACCAGGAGTGAAGAAGCTGTTTCTTTACACAATAGTTATCCCATACACCTACTTCTGCTGCCACCATTGGCTCACCTGAAAGATAACCAAGTCTTCTTAAAATCACATATAGGTGGGCAATAAGATCAGATATTGTCTATAAGAATCAACAGAGTATTCCGTGTTGCTTTGCTCATCACTGATTACTCATTTCATCCAGTATTATCTATGAGAATTCAAAGCTTCTCTATTAGTACAATTTTCTACTCCAGACCACAATGCCTGTCCACAATATCTTTGACGAGTGGTTGACCTCTACTTCTAAGACTTGATGGGTGCTTTCCTGGGTTAATAAATGTTCGAATAATCTCTCTCCTCTTCTGGACACATTCCTATTTATCCACACTAAAGTAAAGCACTTCAACTATAATCTGGCTAAAACAGGCTTATCATGTCCCTCATTCCAGAAACTTTTTCTATTACATTAATAATGTTGAGAATAGGTCTTGCACATACCACATGGATGTATGCTGTCTTCCATTTTGTATCATATTTGTATGATTTGTGTTGTTATAGGGACCTAAGACCAGGGCCATAATCATTATTTCATTTGATTTCTAGGTCCTCTTTCTGAGCATTATTTGCTATCTTTAGCGTTTTGTCACCCTTGAATGTAATCACTGAATATATTTTCTTGCCAAAGTTTCTGATTAAAAAATTAAGGAAAGTACAATTTAAAGATCTTTCAACATTAATCTGAACCACTTACCACCATTCAGCAACATCTCCAACTAATCTGTCCTCTTTCAAATAATTCATGTCTACTCTATTCCCTTAATTACTGTATCTAGTTATTCCATTTTTATATCATATTTTATTCTAATTTAGAACCCAGAGTTTCCCAATAGTACTAGTGTCAAAATGCAAAGCAACAAAAGATTTTTTGTCCCCATTTTTAATCTTTTCTGGCTTTATTCACATATATTATCTAGTTCTCCCCCTACACACAGTTTTATTCTCTTACCTGTGTTCAAGTCCACACCCACAAGTTGACCTGATTCCGAATGTTCAGCCTGAATTTTAACTAACGTTTCCTGAAGATCAAAACCGGAGTTCTGAGCAAGAACCTAAAGTAAACAAGTAATTCTTGAAATACAGGAACAATTGACAGTAAAGTCTATAATAAACAGTATTTCCAATTAACTAAAAAAACACCCTTACTGAATGAAGACAGAACTATTATCTATGTTCCTTTCAGAAAAGAACTAGACCTATGTTACCAGTCAACTTTCTAATCTACCTCAAGCCCAACAATACACTGGTCATAAATTATACTCCCAACCGAATAAACAGAAAACAATGATATTCATCAGTTTAATTAAAAAACAAAAAGCTTGTGCCCAAGAATAATAATCCCTATACTGTAAATTTCTTAAAATATAATTATCTCTCACCATCTGAAACTTCAGCTTATTCAAGCCTCTAAGAATCAAATACATTTAGATGATGACAAATACTTATTCTAGAGTCAGAAAAAAAAAAACTGATCAAATATGTTTATCCAAAATCCGTATTATGAAAAAGCCTATACTAGCAAAAAGGTTTGATCAGCTAAATCATTTTGGTGTAGTTTAGAAAACTGATTGTTAAAAGTATTCACACCTTGGGGATAATCAGCAATGCATCAGCAAATGCTTGGACTCCAAGTTGGGCCCTACCCTTTACACTGGGCTTATATTTAATCAGGGCTTCTGCCATTGCCACTTCTACTGCACCAGCACCTGGAACCACACAGCCTGTTGGATGAGGGGAAAAAAGAGAAATGCTAAGCTACAAAATAAATAAATAAATAACCCTACACATATGAAAGCCATTAATTTCTTACACATTCACTATGACCACAGCAACCTACATACTGCCAAAATTTAAATTTAAAAGTCACAGTACATACAACTACCATATTGAACAGCAGAACAGTTCAACTAGAATGGTTTAATTAGCACTTAGCAGCTATTTCAAGCTATTTGTACTAGCTCATTTATTTGTATTCACCTTTAATAATGATATGCTATGGAAAAACTTAGCATATCATCAGTCATTTTAAAGGGAAGACTGCTTTTGCATGGTGTCTGGCTGTGTAAACTATTGATAAAAGAACACAGTATTCAGCCATGCCTTTCAGACCAGCAAGAGAATACAGTTTAAATACAGTGAGGATCTTACCATCATCAATAGCATTTTTGACAGCCCTCAAGCCATCTCTTATTGCATCTTTGATTTGAGTGAGTGTGTGCTTATTTGGTCCTTTGACCAATAATGTGACAGAACGAGGATTGTTACATTTCTCAATAAAGGTGAACTTCTCTTCCCCCCCCTATGTGTAGAAGAAAGATTATGTTCAAAAACAGAATATGGCTGTGCACAGAGTGAACAGAGTGGAAGGGCTCAAGGAGAGAATAAGTATTATAGCATATTAATAGAGAATATAGACCACATTAAAGCAAATTTTTTTTTTTGAGACAGAGTCTCACTTTGTTGCCCAGGCTGGAGTGAGTGCCATGGCGTCAGCCTAGCTCACAGCAACCTCAAACTCCTGGGCTCAAGCAATCCTTCTGCCTCAGCCTCCCGAGTAGCTGGGACTACAGGCATGCGCCACCATGCCCGGCTAGTTTTTTCTATATATATTAGTTGGCCAATTAATTTCTTTCTACTTATAGTAGAAACGGGGTCTCATTCTTGCTTAGGCTGGTTTCGAACTGACCTCAAGCAATCCACCTGCCTCGGCCTCCCAGAGTACTAGGATTACAGGAGTTAAACACCGGCACCCAGCCTATGCAAATTCTTTTTGAAAAACCACATAAAATTATTTTCCCTCACCAGAGGCTTATTACTACACATAAACCATCAAAATGCATTCAAACAAAGAAAAATCTGATCCTGAATTTCAATTAAGTTTTCTACTGAAGAATTCATGAACCAAAAAGTACCATTACCTTCAGGAAGAAAATACACTTACCAATGTATACTCATAGACAAGTCCCGCATGTCCCAAACAGTCAGGATTTAGGTCATCTAAAGAATTTAGAGCTACTCCACCACAAGCAAGAGTCAGCCTGAAATATTTAGGAGAGATGCATAAGCAACAATTACCAATTACATTCAAAGAGAAGACTAATAATATTAGGAAACCATTTTTCAGAATTACTACTAAAGTTATATTCTACATGTATTTTAACCTTTGCCTTTCCATTCACCATCAACCAGCTGCAAACTGGTCTTTTCTCCTAACCATTTAAACTGCTCTCTGCAAATCAGTAAATATACTCCTTCTGTATAAAATCTAAAGGGGGACAAGAGCTTTTTCTTATGGTGAGCTCTTTAGGAGAAACTATTTCTCTGAAACTTTGTGATGCTGTTTCTTGACAAATAAAAATATGTATAGTATTTATTTATAAATAGAGCAAGTATATACCAATGTTCAAAGCAG